AGAGCACTCCCAAGAGGGCCCCAGGGGCAAAACTCATATATTCTCCTTCAGTTTCTGACAGATTTTGGCGTTCTCGCCTTGTCGGCTTCCCGACGCTCGAAGACAGCCCAAGAGGCCCCCAAGATCGTCCAAGCGGCCTTTAAGAGGGCCCCAACATGATCCAAGAGGGCCCCAAGACCGCCCAAGAGGCCTCCAAGAAGGCCCAAGATGCCCCCAAGATGGCTCCAAGAGGGAGCACAGCCGGGGAATCCGAACGGACAGTTCGAGCCCTAGGTCTGTGAGGCTCTCAGGCGGCCCCCATATGCCTCCAAGAACCCCACGAAGATGCCCCAAGAGGCCCCCAAGAGACCCCCAGGAAGCACCACGAGGCTCGGCTCCCACGAGGCTCCCACGAGGCCCCCAAGAGCCTCCCAAAAGGCTCCAAAACTACCTCCAAGAGGCCCCCGAGAGCGCTCGTCGTCGTCGTCGTCGTCGTCGTCGTCGTCGTCGTCGTCGTCGTCGTCGTCGTCGTCGTCTTCGTTCAGGGTCGGCGGCACCGGCCGTAATGCCTCTCCAATTCCCCTCTCCGTTATCCCCTTTCCCCTTTCGTGCTTGCCAAGGGCTATTCGAATCCGCCGATCCTCGCTTGTCGGGGGTGAGAAGGGTAGACTTTTGACCATTCCCCATCACTTGTTCCCCGTCTCCCAGGGGTCCAAACAAAATCTCGCTGGGGCGGATCGGGAGGGGGGGCGGGGCTGAACGCACCAACGAACCTCGTCTGCACCTAGGGGCTACTCGTCTTCTTCAGTGGTTGGATGGGTATTCTGGGTTTGCTTCCCAGTGCCCACCCATGGGCGCCTCGTGGGCGCCTCGTGCTGGGAGGATGCCTCGGGACATCGCCCTGCTCCGTTTTTCTTGGCCCGGTGCCCGTCCGAGGGCGCCTCGTGGGCTGCGTATGGCTTTCATCGCACTGCCTGCACCACCCAGCGTGCACGCCATAGCTTACACCACAGAGCGTACATCACGTAGCTTGCGCCACACGGCTTGCACACAATAGCTCGCAGCACTCGGCTTGCAGCACACAGTTCGAATGACACAGTAGCTTACGTAGCTTACACCACATAGCTCAACTCACATGGTTTGGACCACGTCGACTGCGACTCACATGTTGCCCCACAGAACCTGCATCCCACATCGTACACCGCACAGCTTGCACCACAGAACTTACGCGACATAGTTTACACCACAGAGCTTGCACTATGTAACTTGCGCAACGTAGCTTGCACCACGTAGCTGGCACCACGTAGCTTTCACATCCAGAGTGCCAGCAGTCACTGTGTTGGGCCACGCTGGCAAACATTGGCGCAACCAAGCAACACATCATGTGTTTTTGATGTTGCACCGACATGTTGTTTTCAAACATGCGCATCAACAAGAAACTTCTCACACGGAACGCACCCTGTTTCGGGCTCGAACTGCGGACAACAAAATAATAATATATCGAAGTCCGAAGCCTTGTCGAGATCAAGATGGTAATGCTTCCGAGGTTTGGATTCTATGTGCAATGTTTCTGACCATGGGGGCACCCTATATATTTCAGGCTGAACTCATCGGCTCAGCATTTAGAATCCGATGCACAGTGGGCTCAGCTGGCATTCGTGGCAATCCAAACGGTCACAACTGGACCAACATCGTTATAATCCAACTCAGGCTGTTCAATTTTCCGTATGAGATGCACTCGGTTCTCATCTGGGCAATCTCCAGAATCGGATCATCACGTACCTGCTCCAGGAGACTAGAACGCGAATAAGATGTTCCGCTTTGACTACCCTCCTCTCCCTCTGCCCCCATTCCTCCTCTCTCATATGCTTGCCAACTGAATCGCTTGCTGGATACGGACAGGTGAAGTGAGGGCAAGCAGCTTTGCACCCAAAACGAAGAGATCTCCGAGGGAGTCAAAACTCTGGACGGCCTGAAGATTGAGCCCACATCGAGCTGCCCGTAGCCGCCAAAGCCCCTCCCAAGAAATACGCCATCCCAGAAGATGACCCCCCCGCGCGACCAAAGAACATCAAAACTGTGCGCACGCATTTCCATGACGACTGCCACTGGATCGCCATGCCTTGCAAATCTGAATGGGGGTCCTGAGGCAAACGAATCCTGACCCCTGGGGCCTCCCCCCGGGACCGGGATTTCATCCAGACTCGTTTCTTGACGGCCCGGGCCTGGGAACGCCCCCGGGAGGCCGAAAACCGAGAGCAGAAACTCCAAGGCCCATCTCTTCTAGGACAGTCGCATTCGTACTGAGATGCTATGCTGTATGAAAAGAATCGTTGGCTGTTGGTTGGGACGCGATCGAAAAACGTGTGAAGTGCTCATGACTACATCTCTCGAACAGCAGCAAATCCACCGTCTCTGCAGACTAGGGGGGAGGAGCGGGGAGGGGAGGGAGGCGAGGCCGGAAGCTGGTGAAAGGGGTCACCAGACCCGATGAAGAACGCAGGCCCTCGCAGTATTTGGCACCAGCCTGGGCCGCTAGGGGGCGCAAAATGGGCGCGCCGCTGCGGCCGACGAAAAGATCGATGTGATGTCCACCGGTCTGCGCGGATTGCACTGGGCCGCGCGAGACATGCAACCGAATAATGGCCACACAGAGGCCTCGTAGATGGGGTCCGAGTAGATGGGGTCGGAGGATCTCGCCGCATCGCCGATACATCCGCGACGTCGGTGTGGAGAAAATTGGGCCCCACATCGACGATGCATCGCCGACGCATCGCCGATGCATCGGCGGTGCGGCGCGATCCTCCGACCCCATCTGCTCCGACCTCATCTAGGAGGCCTAGACCACAGGGCCCCTTCGCCAAAGACCCCGTGAAGACGAAACACCCTCTCCGGGGAAGGCCCACGCACGAAGTCAAACACGAGGTCGCCCTCCCAGAGGTGCTTTTGGCTGTTCGTGATCATGATGCCAGCTGTCATGCCCACGCCATACATCTGGTTTACGGCCAGGAGCTCCTGCGAAGCGTGTCTCGGCGGCGGACCCTGCGACACGCTACGCCTCTTGCAAGCTGACAGCAGGTCGCTCTGCCTGAGGGGCGGGAGGCCGGGCCGGCGTGCCTCGTCGAAGCGTGGTTGGCCAGAACCTGCAGAACGAGACGCTGAGCGCTAGGCAAACATTGCTGACCGTACTTACTATTCCTGCCCAGCCTAGGGCAGTCAGATGGTGGACGGAATCTGACCACCGTTCCAGGCAAACTACCGCCGCCGCGAGGGCCTCAGAGATCAGATAGTGAGGGATGCGAAAAACGACGCTACTCTGGGTTACAAATGCGTGGTCTGTAAACCTCCTGGGAACGCCGAAAGCCTAGAGAGAGCCGCCAGGACGCCGCATATCACGCAGGGTTTATCCCGTTAGCCCACAGGAGGCTCAGCGAACAGCGCCTCGTAAACCAGGGTATGGGCGTTTTTTTTGCGCCCTTGAACACAAAGAACACAAAGCCTAACTATACCAATGCGATGACAGCTGTGCAAACATGTCCGTACACGAGACGCCCACTGAGACGATGCGGCGGAACAGGGCGATCACTCGCCTCGACTCAGAGCGGCCAGCTCGGCGGATCGGTTCAGGAGCGAATTGCAAACTGGGCGTGGAGTCCTTGGAGGCCTCCTAGATGGGGTCCGAGGAGATGGGGTCGAAGGATCGCACCGCATCGCCAATACATCGCCGCTGTATCGGCGAGACATCGGCGATGAATTGGCGACGTCGGCAATGAATCGCCGACGTCGACGTGAAGCAAATCGGGCCCCGCGTCGAGCCGTCGGCGACGCATCGGCAATGCGGCGCGACCCTGTGGCCCCATCTGCTCCGACCCCATCCGGGAGGCCCAAAACGTTTAGCTCTGGGCCCCATGACGAGCACCTCCTCTCAGGCCCCCTCCGTCCTCCTCCTCCTCCTCTTCCTCCTGCTGCTAATGGCGGTCGAAATGTTTGTCGCCGCGCAAACCTGTCCAGTCCCTCCCATCGTGCAAAGACCAGGGTGGGAGGGGGGCTCATTCGGGGAAAGGCAAGAATAAGGTAGAAAGCGACCGATCACTAACAATGAGGCGGGGGAAGTGGGAAGCGCCTGATGCCAAACAACACAGACGAAAGGCCAGACCGCCCTAAGGGCGAGAAGGCAAGCCCCCAGAGGCAGAAGCGGAAGAGCGAGGCCAGGAGAGGGAAGGGGAAAAGGAGAGAGAAGAAGAGAAAAGGGGGTTCGCCTCTAGGCACTCGGGGTGGCTTGGTCGCCGTGACGCGAGGAAGAGGGAAGAGGAAGGACGAAAGCAGAATGTGTGGGAGGAGAGGAGCAAGGGACGGCGGAGGTGGGTGGGTAGGTGGGTGCGCAGGCTCGAAAAGAAAGGCGTGGCGCTAGAGGCGGTATTCGTGCCGTGCGCCTGGTCGTGAAGGAAGTAAAGAGGGGTCGCGCAGAAGGGGGAGGTGGGGTGACCATGGGCGCAGCGACGGTCGGGGAACAGCGGCGGCTGCGGTCAAAGGACGTGAGGTCGAGCAAACGCGAAGGGCAATGGCACCAGGACGTGAGGGTGGGGAAGCATGAAAGAGGAAGCGGAGGTCCTGGTGCCTAAATGGGTCGACTGGTAAGCTGCGGTTAGCTTTCTCTTAGGGTGGAGGCAGAAGGCCGCAGTGGCAAGCTCCTTTGGAGGTCCCAGCAGTAGGGTCGCTCTTTTAGAGGGGGGGGAGGGCCAGTCGACCCTTCTGCAAATGCCTACCTCATACAACGTGGGCACAACGGGTTGCCTAAGTGCCTTGGTCCAATGAGTTGGCCATGGACAGCTTCTCCTCCTCCTCCTCCTCTTCCTCCTCCTCCTCTTCCTCCTCCTCCTCCTCCTCCACATCCTCCTCTTCCTCCTCCTCCTCCTCCTCCTCCCCTCCTCCCCTCCTCCTCCTCCTCCTCTTCTTCCTCCTCCTCCTCCTCCTCCTAGGTCCTCCTCTTCCTCCTCCTCCTTCTCCTAGAACGTGGAGTCCTGGGTCCCATGACGAGCTCCGTGTTCACCACGGCATCGACGAAGCTGCTGCTGTTCAGGGCCACGTCCTGCCCGGACCCGCCCGCCGCATCTGCGGCCCCTCGAAGTTTCGGGGGCCGCGACCGCCAGGGCTCTCCGCCGCCCGTCGAGGTTTCTGGCCGTGGCCGCCGGGGGTTACCCGCCGCCCACGGGGCGGCGTGGGGGTCCTGCCGCAAGGCTTAGGTTGGGCATGCCCTCCTGGAGGCAGATTTTGTGAGAAAGATAAAGAGGAGTAGCAACAGTGCTCAAGCATAGTTACAGATGCCAGAAGACTCGTCCCCAAACGATGCTCTCACTGTTCTTGAACCCCTTCTCCTGCAGAGGGACATGCCCGACGTAGTAACGCAAGGCCCGGCGGGGGCCCTCGGACTGGGAGGCCCGGGGAGGCGCCCTCGAACCGCGAGAGGCCCGAGAGGAGGCCCCCGCCGTGGGGCCCATCGGGGGGGGGGGGGCACGCCGCGAGGACACGAGGGGGGTCCCGGAGGCGGCCTCTCTCCCGGCCTCTCTCCCGAGACGCCCGCGCCTCACGGGAGGGCCTTCCCGCGCTCAGCGGTGCAGTACTAGTCGGTCCGGAGAAGAAGGTAGAACCATGAAGTAGGACGGCGTTGGAAGTAGATTGGGATCCGTCCGCCCCCCAAGGAGGACGGAAACGGCGAAGCCACTCGATCATTGAAATAGGAAGGCGCCTAAAGTAGATTGGCACCTGGGAATCCCAAAATACCTACTGTCAACGGCCGATGGGTAAGAATGCAAGGGCCTTGGACGCCCATGTCGAAGCTTCTCGAGCGGGGCGCGGCCAGCGGAAGCAGCCAAGGATGGACCGAGGAGGCAAGGACGCAATGGTACCCTTGGGAGGAAGGGTGCATGCGGATTAATTGCACGAGGAGGTGAAAGGGAGAAGGACGGGCACGGTAAGGATGCGCGATAAGGATGCAAGGGCCTTAGACGCCCATGTCGAAGCCTCTCGAGCGGGGCGCGGCCAGAGGTGGCCAAGGATGGACCGAGGAGGCAAGGATGCGAGGGTACCCTTGGGAAAGTCGTTCATCCTTACGGTGTGGGTCGACGGTAGGAGTTCGACCACAAGAAGCCTTTCACAAGAAACCCAACCCTGAGACCCCAGGACGTCCACTGGTTCTTGGTGTGGGAGCGTCACGCTTTCCATAGCAGAACCGTCGAAACCCGAGAAACCCAGGGCACCCTGGAGGCTAGCAGGGTGTTTCTTGGCATGGGTTTCCACTGTACTGCCACTTCCCATCGTCGGGTGGCCCCTTTCATCCCAAGCAACCCCTCTCCGCGGATGCCGATGTCGCCCCCAGCCGCGGGGACGCAGCTGCGCTGAAAGCTGCTCGCGTGGAGCGTGAAGCTGCCTTTCGTTCTGCTCGAGCGGCGCGTCGAGCGTGCTTGACGGCGAACGCGTAGGCAGCGGCGCGCGTTGAGCAAGACAATACGCTCGAGCTGCGGCGTCGGAGCCTGCGCTGAGATCCTCCCAGGTTCATCGATATAGAGTGACTGAAACACATCACTATTCTTCACCTTGACCGCTCTTTCGGTCCTCAGTGGCCGCACGCTCCTTTATTCCGCCGCCCGCCTGCCCGCTTCTCGCGACTCTCCATACGTGCACCATCTCGGAGCAGGGCGGTTTGAGACCCTGGGCGCTCAAAATCGGTCCCCAGACCCCCCCCCCCCCCTGGGGTCCAACACACACACTATAGTTTGCAGCGCTGGGTCCGGCCGTGGCGACGAGAGAGCCCCCCTGAGGGCCAACTACCAGTGTCTCTCATGGCCCTCCTCTGACCATCACTCCCCTTCCCGCGCATGGGCGCGGGGTGGGTCGGGGGCGACGGCCGTCGAGGCAGAGTCCGCCCCGCCAACGCCAGCGCCAACGGCGGCGGGAAGGCGCTCCCGGCCTCGCGCCCTGCTCCGCGGGCTCCGAGGAGGGCGGGACAGGTGCCGCCAGTGCCACGGGCCATTGGGATGGCCGCTCTCTCTGCGCGGGGCGCGGAGGAGCAGGAGACGAACAGGGAAGGGGAGGGGGGGGTAGGAGGAGGAGGAGGAGGAGGAGGAGGAGGAGGAGGAGGAGGAGGAGGAGGAGGAGGAGGAGGAGGACAAGCGCAAGTGGCCCAAAGAGTAGGGAACGAAGCGGCCAAGCGCACGACAGAGGCAGGGCAACGAGACCTGTGCACTTCCACTGCCCCAGGCCCGGCCCCTCCTGGGCCTGGGAGCGGCGTAGATGCCTCCCTGGTCAGGCCAGGCGGGCGCACACACCGCTCCGGAGCCCAGGGTGGGCCGGGTCTGGAACAGTGGATCTGTACAGATGCCGTCGCCCTCGGAGGACGCACGAGAGCCCTCTCTGATCCCCCCCCGTCAGCACGGCGGGGCACCGCCGGCGCCGTGCGAGCTGCGTGAGGCGCGCCAGGGGGCGGGCAGCACGGCGGGGCCCCGCCGGCGCCGTGCGAGCTGCGTGAGGCGCGCCAGGGGGCGCACTTCTGGATCGGACCTCCTGCAAGGGCCCCCCTTGGTTCGGTAAGTATGATGCTTAGCACGCGCAAGATCCAGAACAAATCATGGACGCAAGCTGGATTTCGGAGCAAGGAGGACACGGAAGGGGGGCATCACGAGAGGAGGGCGAGGAGGAGGAGGAGGAGGAGGAGAACCTCCCCAAGCCCACCGTGCCTCAAGGTTCGATCACACGCACAACGAGTCGCGCGGCACGCGCTCCGCGAGCGCGCGCTGCTGGCGCACGCGGCTCCATCCCTCTGGGCGTGGGTGGCTCCAGGAGCTCGTCATCCCAGCTTCCCCTGCTCCTCGTCGGGGAGAGGCGTACCCCTCCCGCCCGCTCCCCCTCCCTTGGGTCTAGAGGGCTGGAGCGTCCGAGACCTCTGGGCGTAGCTGGTTTGATGAGCGGATGATTCCGACTTCCCTCCTGCTTCGAGATTTACCACTGTTCCTCTTGAAGTTGCATCCTCTCCCGCACCCGACCAGGGGAGAACCTGGAACCATGACAACACCACCCCCTCATACTTATCCCAAACAATACAAAGTGCACTTTGCGGCAAAACATCGATCAAGTGCGGACGCCAGGCGCTTACGTTACATTGCCATTTGACAGGGACGAGGGGAGGCGGCATATTGCCAGCTGCGCGCAGGCCCATCTTCCCCGTCACAAAGATGCGAAATACACTTTGCGCTCAAGATGATGAGATTGCCCCAGCACGCGAGGGGCACCTCGCAAGCGTCGCGCAACTGTCTGGCGTCTGTGTTGGTTCCCGAGGGCGGGTGGGAGTACGCGAGACTGCCGTCCTTCGGGGCTGGTAGCTTGACCTCTCCCCCTGCCCCCCCTCCATGGGTCTGGAGGGTTGGAGCGTCCAAGATGGCCTCCAAGATCGCACAACATAGCCAAAGATGATTCAAGAAAGCTTCCAACATGCCTCCAAGAGGCCACAAGACAATCCCTAGGTGGCTCCAAGTAGCCTCAGAGCCTAACAAGGGTGCTTCAGAGAAGCCCATTCGCTTCCGATGGGCTTTGGAGGCGTCAAGATGGCTCCAATATCGCCGAAGAGAGCGGCTAGAGGGGCCCAAGAGGGCTCCAATGTGACCCAGACGATTTGTCGGACTCCGGCGGGGCGGGTAATTGTTTACACCTCGTCCTTTAATGCCTTGGCTGCTGAGAGGGAAAATGACATCGGGCACGCCACCAGACTTGCGGCGGCACTGGCACGCCCAGACACGAGGCGGCCGAGAGGGGGCCGCCGCCTGGACAGGCGGCCACGCAAAGCTGGCGACGATATGCAATTTACCAATTAGGGGGGCCGCGCTCAGCGCGCGCAGCTCCGGCCTACAGGGGGGGCCCTTCCACAACAAGCCTTCCACGAGAACCCCCATCTGCCCATTGATTTCTGGTGTGGAAGCGTCACTTTTTCCATCGCAAAACCATCGAAACCCAGGGCACCCTGGAGGCAAGCAGGGTGTGTCTTCGCATGGGTCTCCACTGTAGGGGGCGGAGGCGAGAGGAGGACAAGGGCGACGAGGGCGAGGGGCCGTGCAGACGCGAACGCCAACACCACCAGGACCACCACCGCCCAGGGGTCCGGGGGGTCGGAGGGATCGGGAGGCCGACACTTCAAGCCCTTCGCCCCAAGGTGGCCCCGGAGGCCGTCAGCAGAACCCCGAGGTGACCCCGGGAGGCCCGCAAGAGCCCCCCCCGAGAGACATCCGCGGCCCAGGCACGGTGGCCGGATGGGCCCAAGGCCATGGGAATAGCTCCCCTGTCTGCCCCTCGACTGGGCTGATGGGAAGAAGCTCGCTGCCTCAAGCGAAGCCATGAGGGAACTGATGAGGCAGACAACTCGGGAATCGCTGCGAGGTGAGAGCCAACCCAGGCGGCGCAGCGTCGAACGACCTCCTAAAAGGTCGACTTATTCCCTCCGCCTGGGCATTCGTCTATTTTCCTGCGGTTGACTGGCATCCATGAGGGTCGTCCAGAGGGAAGTCCAGTGACAAGGGAAACACACAGGAACAATCTACCTTCCGCCTCGACCAGTCTGTGCCGAAATCCTCGTAAGCAACTCCCCTATTCCAGGGTCACGCTGGGAATTCAATGGCACATCTTCCTTTGCCTTCGTTATAAGCGAGCAGACGTCTTCTGACCTCCTTCCCTACGCCAACCTTCCTTCGGCGAAGGGTGTTGCTTTGGATCTCTCGTTTCGTGGCCTCTGCTATGCGGCTCCTGGTCATCGACTTCGCCATGAGGCATGTTGAGCTGCGGCGGCGGTGGCGTCATCATTGAATGCCCTGCGTGTGTTTTGTTATCTTCGGCTCTTGGCCCGTGTCCGCGCTCGGGGAGAGAGAAGGGATGCAGTATTTGACACCGCTTCGCGATCGTTCCAATTCCAACTCCGATTCCTTCGGCAGAGCCCAGCCCGTCCATGTACGCTTGGTTGTCGAAGTAGGCAAGCGAGGGCACGCAGTTCCGCACAATGCGCGCCTCCCTTCTGTGGCGGTTAAGGAAATTGAGGAAGGAGCGGCTGGAGCAAGGAGAGGATAGGGGGGGAGGCCAGGAGGGACTGCACGGAAAGACTACTAGCGGGACGTCGAGAGGGAAAGGAGAGGGACGTGGGGCGGTGCTCCTGAAGTCACAATTTGGGAGCATGGGGCGTGGGAATGGCCCGGCTGCGGGTAGGGGACTGGGGCGGACATGAAGACAGCGGAGAAGAAGAGGAGAGTACTTGGAGGGGAGGGGGAGGGCGGAGGGCTGAGGGCACGGGGAGGGGGCGGTGGTGATTGGGAGTGGGGATGGTGGGGGAGGCCGAGGAAGGAATCAGGTGGGGAGGGACGAGACGGGGTGAGGAAGAGAGGGACTTGGGGGAGAGACCAGGAAGGTGAAGGCGGAGAGGACATACTGAGAAGTGAGGGGCGCGGAAGGGATGGGAATGGACACTGGAAATAGGAGGGACGGAGGGTGGAGATGGGAGAGATGGGAGGGAAGAGGGGCAGTCGGGGGGGGCAGATGGTAATGAAGGCAATGCTCATAAAGAGGAAATATTATCACTATCAGGATAAGGGTCAGCCGGGGATCACTAGGGAAGGTGCAGGATGGCGATGAGAGGGAAACGCCTAGAACCTAGAAGGACAGGACGCCAGGATGCATACTGCGACTGAGTACGCATCTGCACATATCTATGTGTTGACTATTCCTGTTTACAGTTGCATGAAGAGATGTATACATAAACATTTGCACATTTTCTGTTTTGAGGATGAGGAGAAGGAGGGAGCGCGACCACAACGCTTCATCCGACTCGGCCTCGACCTCCGTGCGAACCAAAAGGTCGCCAAACAAACTGGGAACACTACGCGAACCGACCTGCGATGGGCAAGCCCATGCATTGAACCGTGGCCTGAAGGATGATCGAGCGTGCCGCGTGCGAAGAGGAGAAGGAACACCAGAGAGAGAAGGAGGGATCAAGAGACGATGTGCCTAATGCGGCCGCGCGGCGGCTGGCGCTGTACACGCGCTGTACAACCACAGCCGGGCACGCACGAAGAGGGAAGCAACAAGCACTCTACAGGCCGCTCCGGCAGGGCGGGCAAGGCGGGGGGAAGCAGAGGCTCGCCACGGCCACGCACCTCAGCGACACGGCAGGGCACAGCGAACTAACTGGCGAGGGGGGAAGCAGGAAGGCGCAGAAAGGGGAAGAGTGCGAGGAGGAAGCCAGGGCACCAGGACAAATTCTGGTGCTCCAGGCGGTGGTGTGCAGTGCAAGCCTAAGCCCATGAGTGACAGGGTGAGGCTGCGACTGAGCATGAACCCCAACGAACCCAGTAAACATCAAAGCTGGGAGAGCGCGGCCGGCCGCCCGAAGGCTGGCGCGACCTGGGGGGCCTCGGCGCACGACCTGCGCAGACGGGACGGCGCCAGCGCTCTGGCGCGGCAGCCGCCCCCGCAGGCCGAACGCCTCGCCCCGCAACCACGAGGAGTGGAGCGGAGGGGAGCGAGGGGGGAGGGGGGGGAGGGAGGGGGGGGGGGGGGGGGAGGGGGGGGGGAGGGAGGGGAGCGAGGGGGAAGGGGGGGAGGGAGGGGGGGGAGGGAGGCAAAACCGCATCCACCCTGCGACGCCGCAGGGGCGCCGCGTCCGGGGCAGGCCGGCGCGGACTCGTCTTCGTGGGCCAGCACGGCGGCAGCCCATCAAGGACGTCAACAGAGCATGCAAACCGGGAGGGAAGAGAGGGGCGGAGGGAAAGGAGGAAGCAGGAAAAGATTGAAGTCTGATAAGATATGCGCAACATGTGCTGAAGAAGCCGCCAGTGGCATGCCCTTCAGGTGCCGTCTGGGTGGTGGGCTCCCCTGGCAGACTGTAACAAGGAGGGCCTGCGAACCAAAAGTACGGCCTGCGCATGCGCAACTGGTAAAATAGCTATATCGGCCAGAAACACCAGCAACATACACAGCTGTCTTGACAAACTTCAGGACGCCAACGCGGCCACTGCGAGTTATCACTGCCAGCGCCAACTTTGAACATTGGGGCGTGAGGCAAGCTCGCAACCTCCATCCAACGCGTCGGACGATTCTAGCCTGCCTGGCTCTCAACATTGCCGGATGCGCACCCGCAGAAGCACTTCCTATGCACAATGGTGGGGTCCGACTCGTCTTACCCCCCTTGGAGGTCCACATCTGCTAGAAGGTGCTCTGCGAGGAAAGGATCTAGCCACCGATCCACACAGAGTTCTTACGCTATGGCGGCGCCACGACCTTTATCATATTAGTAGAAGGAGCCATTGCCGCCAGCTCCTTGGTCATGTGCTCGCCGATGCATGGAATATTGTGGTGCCACCAGGCAGCATCACGTTGGCCTACGAGTCTTCGCGGATATCGGCACCGCACTTCATGATCGACTGGAACGTGGTGTCGTATATGCCGCTAGCTTCCTTGCCCACGAATCTGGGCTGGAAGAGCACTTCTGGGCAGCGAAAGTGCACGCCGCCCACGATTATGTTCCCTTCTGGGAGCTCGTGTGTCTTGATCCTGTCGGAGCTCTCCGTAGCGGCCTTCATCTCAGTGTCGAATTCGAGCGTGATGTTCCAGGGCTTTCCTTCGACGTCGCGCACGATCTGTCGCTCCGCCGTGGTGATCAGGGAGTGGCCACGCTCGGTGAGGATCTTCATCCAACATTCTGTAGGGTCCAGCCCCGGCAGATCTAGGCGCAGGATCACATGCCGCAGCGCGAAGCCCTCATACACGGGTGCGGTGTGCGACACGCCATCGCCGGAATCCACGACCATCCCTGTGGTGCGGCCTAGAGCGCACAGCGAGAGCACTGCCTGGACCGCGACGTACATTGCCAGCACGTGGAACGTCTCCAGCATGATCTGCTTCGTGCACTGGCGACTCGCCTTCGGGTTCAGGGGCGCCTCCGTGAGGATCAGAGGGTGCTCCTCCGGAGCCACTCGGAGCTCGTTGAGATATGGTGCCAGATCTTCTCCATGTCGTCCCAGTTGGTCTCGATGCCATGCTCGAGGGGGTGCTTCAGGGTCAGGACGCCGCGCTTGCCCTGGGCCTCGTCACCCACGAAGCTGTCCTTTTGGTCCCTGTCGACCATGAGCCCTGGCATCGGAAGAGGCTGCACCCCTGGGCGGACCAGGAGGCAAAGTGCAACGAAGTGGGCTCTGCCCACCTGGGGCGACCCAAGAGGCAGGCTGACGCCTGGGGCGGACCAGGAGCAGCGAAGCGAAGCGGAACCCTGGAGCCCTGGAGCCCATATGTGCTCTTGGGCCACTCGAACCAACTTGAGCCACAGAGCACCTTGAGCCAAAACACATGTGCATATGTACACAGAGAAAGAGAGAAGCCATACATGATAAAACACAGCAAACCTGCACACACACCTATATATAGATAAACAAACAACAGAGAGAAAAAGAGAGAAATAGAGAGAGAGAGAGAGAGAGATGGAAAGAAAGAACGCGCGCGGGACGAACGACTCCCGTGACCGCTGCGTCCCACCGGGTCGTCGAGAATATGGCAGACATAATCTCAGAAACCGACCGAAGCAGCCGCCAGCGTGCCTGCAACATGTGGAGTATGAGGGTACCGTTCGTTGTCTAATAGGGCGTCTGCCGTTCCTTGAGGGGGCCGCCCTTCTCTGGCAGAACGCCGCTCCCTTAGTTTTGCTTTCATGCGCCCTTTTCGGCCTCTACGCGGCTCCAAGACGGCCAAAGACACATCCTGCCATCGCCCAAATGTCCATTCCCCGTGCGTCGGCTTGGTTCCGTGAGTGCTTCCCCAGATGATCCAGCATTTCTGGCGCTGGCTTCGCCGAGACCAATGCACACGTCCGAACGATGCCCATACATCTAAGACTGCCGAAGGATGCCTGACAACCAGCTGAATACGGGCCGGCGACTCCCAAAATCCTCCAACACGTCCCTGAGATGCCCCAAGGGGTCCTAGGAAGCCCCAAAGAGACGCCCACAGGAGACTCCAGGGAGGCCCGAGGAAGCAAGCACATCATGAAACAAGTTTGGAACATCACTGGGTTTCGCTTCCGAGGCTTCTCAGCTGTAGATTGGAGCGGGAAAACTTTGGAGAACCCCTGGGAGAATCCCCAAACGGCCCATGGCGGCCCCAAGAGGGCCCCCAACACGGCCTCAAGACTGCCCGCGACACCCCCCCCAAGACGGACGGCATGGGTCCCCTTCTAGGGCAACAAAAAAATGGCATAAGCGTAAAGACTGGGAGGTCCGCGCGGATTTCTCCCAGTCTTTATGTTTATGCCACTTCTTGTTCCCCTGAAGACGGCAAGGGTCCCCTTCGCCGGCCCCGCCTCCCCCCGACCCGCTCCGCCGGGGCCCCTCCCGCCAAGGGCCCGCTTCCCCGGCGGGCCGCTCCGCGGGCGGCCCGCTCCGCTGGAGCATCGCTTCGCCGGCCGGCTGCCCCGCCGGCGGCCCTCGTCGCCGCCGTCCTCGTCGCCGCCCTCGTCGTCGCCACGGGTCCGTGCGCCCCTGCCGGAGCGCTCGGTGATGCACAGCAGGCGTCGTTGCCGGGAAGCACAGTCGGCCCGTGTCAGAAGTGTGTGCGATACGGATGCGAGGGCCTTGGAAGGCCACCTCGAAGCTTTTCGAGCGGGGCGCGGCCGACGAACGTGGCCAGGGATGGACCGAGGAGGCAAGGATGCAAGGGTACCCTTGGGGGGAAGGGTGCCCATCCTTGCCATTCGGGTCGACTGCACGAGGAGGTGCAAGGGAGAAGGACCGGCACAACCAGGAGGGAGAGAGAGAGCAGCACGAGCAGGGGCAAGGCGAGCAACGGCAGCAGCAGCATCACCAGGGCCAGGTTGACAAGGAATACAGTCAACCCGTATCATAAGGATGCGCAGTCAGTTTGCAAGGGTTCTGGAGGCCCATATGTGAACGGATTTCGAACGAGGTTTGGCCAGCGAAAGTCGCTAAGGATTGGCCGAAGGGGCAAGGACGCACAGTTACCCTGGGGAAGGTTGCCCATCCTGACTGTGCGGGCTGGCTGCAGCAGGGACAACAACAGGGGGCAAAGCGGTACCATGACAGACGGCGGAGGAGGAGCAACAGGAAGCGGACCCTCACGGGCGGGTTGGGCGGGCGGGCCCGCACGGGCGCACTGGCGGATCCTGACGGGCGGGTCGGGCGGGCGGACCCGAACTGGGCGGGTCGGCTGGCAGACCATCAAAGCGGGCAGGCGGGCATGCGAGCACACGGGCGAGCGGGCCCGAGCGGGCCTGGTCGGGCGGGCGGACCCCGGCGGGCGCATCGCGCCAGCGACGACGAGCGGCCACGAAGAGCGGCCGTGAACGAGCGGCGACGACGACCACGGCCCAGCGGAGACCACCACGTCGAGAGACGGCGGCGGGCGAAGCAGACCGGGGCGAAGCGTTAGGTCTGGCGTCTGCAGGCGGAGGGAGTTTGGAAGAACCATGAACAAATAGCCGAACCACATTCCGAAGCGGTCAAGCACAGTCAAAACATCGGCCCCAGACTACTTGTTGGCTATTTCGGAGTTTCCCCCCTGCAGGGGGACATGCCCGCCTGAAGCGACGCGGGCCGGGGCGAGAGCGAGGCCGGGGCGAGGCGGGCCCCTCGGAGGCGCAGAGGGGGGGGGGGGGCTCGGGCGCGGCGGGCCGGGGCGAAGAGGGCCCCCCAGACGGCCCCCAGGAGCCGCCCTGCCGCCCCTTCGATTCTGCGCCGTCGAGGTCGCGCCCGAGGCGGCCCCGAAGCGGCGCCCTCCTCCTGCTCCTCCTCCTCCTCCTCCTGCTCCTGCTCCTCCTGCTCCTGCTCCTCCTCCTCCTCCTCCTCCTCCTCCTCCTTCTCGCGCCCGAGGTGGCCTCGAGACGGCCCGCCGCCCCGCTGAGTGGCCCCGCGTAGGCTGCCGAGAGGGCGGCGAGAGGCTCTAGGGTCAGGTCGGGCGTGTCCTCCTACAGGCGGGTGCTGGACGAAACATGCAAAATAGTCAAAACCGATTCACAAGTATCAAAATACTGAAGAATCGTCCCCATACTACGTGTTGACAATTTTTGAACTTTCCTCCTGCAGAGGGACATGCCCGACTTAACTCTAGGGAAGCCGCGGGGCGAGTCTCCGATGTGCCGCAGGGAGGGGGGGAGGACCGTGGACTGCACGGTCGGCTCCCGAGAGGGCCGGCGCGCAGGAAGGCGACTGTATAAAGGGTGTGTTCGCACAGGAGTCCGTGCTCGACGTCGGCGCTGTTCGGAGGGGTCGAGAGCGGGGAGCGCGAGAGTTTTTGGGGCCCTCCAGGGTCCCAGATATGGCCCAAGTCGGCGCTCTCCCCCGGGCCGCCCACCACGGCATTTTTCTGTATGGTCCCCATGGCAATTGAAATGTCGGCAAGCGTGCACATGGGGCCCTGACAGAACACAGACACCACCCCGCACTCACAGGGCACACCTAACTACCAAACGCCCTCCATAGAACATACTACAGGCAGGGGCGAGGCCGTGACGTTGGCCCCGCAGAAACTAGCAGCGGGACAGCACGCACTGCGGGCGCAACCAGCCATGGCTTGCTAGAGTGAGGAGGGTGGGGAGGGGAGATGTGAATGAGGAAGGAGGAGGAAGACAGTAAGACACCCAAGATGCTGCAAAGGTATTGTAACACACCCTCCAGTCCCAAGTCACCTCATGAGACGTAAGGCCCTACAGGCCGTTCTTGCCACTCCAGGAAGCGCACCCTTGAGAAACGAGCCCCACACGAGCCTGTCATTCAAGCGAGAGTTCCGTTTTGAAAAGGAACTGCCCTACACACTGCGAGCTCGAGGGAGCGCGAAGGAGTAGGAGATAAGCGATTTGAAAAGGAGCCGACCTCCGTCTACGCAGTTTTTGCTCCTGTTCACTCTTCTGGCTGAATGTGACAAATTCCCCCAGCTTCGCATATCCCCACCGGCCCATTCAGAAACCCTCCCCTTAAGAGCTGACGGGAAAAGGGACGAAGAAACATACCTAGGGAAACAAAGCGGGTAAAGGGGTGGCCTTGGAAAAGCCATCCCTGGGTGCCGCGTTGGGGCGAGGGGAAGAGGAGGAGGAGGAGGAGGAGGGCGAGGACGAGGACGCGGATGAGGACGAGGAGGATCTTGAACCCTCTTTGGAGCCTCTCGGGGGCCCTTGAGGGCATCTTGGGGACATTTTGGGGAGCATAGATCAAATGAGGAGGGGTTCTCGTTTTCGCCCCCCACCCCCCCCCCTCAGGAGCCCTCAACATCGCATCTTGGAACTATCTTCGCGCTCTTTTGGGGTGTCTTTGGGCCCTCTTGGGGCGTCTTGGGGCCCTCTTGGGGCTCTCTTGGGGCTCTCTTGGGAGCCCCATAGCGCCTCTTTGGGCCGTCTTCGAGGCTATCGATTAAAGGAAGGGGGGTCCCGATCGAGGTCCCCCCCCCTGGGGCCCTCAACATTCTCTCTTGGAGCCCTCTTGAAGAACTATTGGGGCGCTCTTGAGCGCTCTTTGGACCGTCTTGGGAACCTCTTGGGCCCCTCTTGGGGCCTTCTTGGCCCATCTTGGGGCCACCTTGAGGCGCCTCAGAAGCGCGTCGGAAGCGAAACGGCGAGAAGGCAAACATCATACATGTTCCTTTTGTGTTTGAAAGATTTTGGGCTCTCGGAAGGGTCCTGAGGGGATTCCGAAAGCACCTGGAACCGTCTTGTGGTCATCTTGGGGCCTCTTGGAGACATGTTGTTAGCTATCTTGAGCCATGTTGGGCTATCTTGACGGTCTTGGAGGTCATCTTGGGCTCTCTAAAGCCCTCTTGGAGCCATCTTGAGGCGATCTTGGACGCTCCAATCGATCGCGGCCCCTTTCGTCCAGGTCCAGGGGAGGGGGTAGGGGGAGGGGTAAACCCCTCCCCGAAGGGGAAGAGGTTTTTGGGAGAGGAAATAACGATATCGTTAGACCACCTGCGCCCAGAGGGCTGGTGGGATTGCTGGCGATGATCCCATTTTGAAAAAGATGGGGCGCTCTCCATCTTTGTACGTGTTGCTCAACTTTACACGTGTGGTAGAATGAATTGAGAACATCTGAAGCGACATCCCCATTTTGAACTGGGGGGGGCGTTTAGGATTCAGGGCACTCCAGACAGGGCGCTGAACTGCTGGAGCGGGTCTTGAACTTGACCTTCTTCCTGCTGCGCGCTGCGCTGGAACTGCGGCGGGGTTGGCCACAGGTAACCGTATACAAAATCTGCCAAACCTTCGGCTGCAATCCACGCCTAAAGGCATCTGGGCGAAGCCAATTGAGGCAAGCGAAGCCTCGGGAGGAAATCCGCCTCATTAACGCTTGCTCGCTTGTCGTCTCCACCCCAGACGAAGACAATAATGGCGAGGCGGGGATAAAACGACCAGCCAGGATGAGGACGAACAGCCCCCCGCGCCGACCCAGGGCATGACGAAGGAGCCGAGGGCGATCGTCCCCGAGTGGAACCGCATGCCCCACGCATGGCCTGCAGCCGCACTCCAGCGAGGGCAAGCACGGGCGAGAGGTTCCTTACGTACTAGAATTCCGCCTACAACCTCAAACATGTCAGCACGGTTGGCCACATCCACTGTGCGCCTCTGCTGTGCGGACGAAGCATGGTGGCTCTGAACCGAACTGGTAAGCATGAACTGGCGGCCTCTGCAACCGAAGCGGCCGAACCGGAGCCCTAACCGAACTGGTTGGAACTGGACTGGCCAATTCGGACCGAACCGTTGGGCCGAAACCAGTCTGGACAACCAAACCGGACTGGTTTGCTATGCCCCCCACGTTCGTCGAAGGGGTGGGTGGGTAGCAAAAGTCGGCGGCGAGTCCGGGGGGGACACGAGAAGGAGAAGGCCTTCTCAGAAGGCTCGAAAGTCCCAAAAATTCTCTGAGCCTTCCCCGAGGACACCGAAACACTTCTCAGCAGGCCTTCTCCTTCTCACTTCCCCCTCTCGCCCGCCGCCGAAGTGCACGCGAGCCCGCGAAGCAGCTGCATATGCAGCTGGTCTTCCCGGCACCCGGAGGGGCACGGGGAGCGACGACGCACCGATGAGTGCGGGCCCAGCGGCTGGGCCGAGACCAGTCCGAATGCCCAGCCAAACCCGGAGGGGGGAGACAAAACAGCATAAACATACAGTGGAAGCCAGAAACCCTCCACAAGAAACAAAGCCCTGAGACCCCAGGGCGTCCACTGATTTCTGGAATGGGAACGCCACGCCTTCCATCGCAAAACCATCGAAGCCCAAGAAACCCAGGGCACCCTGGAGGCAAGCAGGGTGTTTCTTGGCATGGGCCTCCACCGTAAACTTCTGGAGATCCACGCGGATCTCTTGCATTTGGGCTAGAACCCCCTGGAGCGCGCAAGGTGCGGCGCCGGAGGCGCCGCCAGGGGGCCTCAGCGCGGATCCAAGAAATCCGCGCGGAGCGCCGAGGCTCTATGTTTATGGCCTTGCTTCTTCGAAAACCGACCTGGTCTGCTCTGCCCCCCACGCTCGTCGAGGGGGTGGGTGGGCAAGTCGCAACAGGGGCGGGTTCGCGCAGCCGCCCGCAGCGGGGCTTCCCGGCGCCTGGGAGGGGGCCCGGGAGTGGCGCCGCCTCGAGGGGAGCGTGTGCGCGCCCCGCGGCGGGGCCGAGCAGCGGGCTGCGGCAGCTCTCGCCCCCGCCCTCCTCCTCCTCCTCCTCCTCCTCCTCCTCCCTCCTCCTCCTCCTCCTCCTCCCCCTCCTCCTCCTCCTCCCCTCCTCCTCCTCCTCCTCCTCCTCCTCCTCCTCCTCCTCCTCCTCCTCCTCCTCCTCCTCCTCCACCCTCCACCCTCCTCCCACCCGCCCTTCCCAGGCATGCGAGGCCCTGCTTTTTCCGATGCAGCAGGAGGCTTGGCCGCAGGAGACCTGCCACAAGAAGCCTAACCCTGGAGCCCCAGGACGCCCGTTGGCTTCTGGTGTAGGAGCGTCGCGCTCTCCATGGCAGCACAAACCGTCGAAGCCCCAGAAACCCAGGGCACCCTGGAGGCAAGCAGGGTGTCTCTTGGCACGGGCTTCCGCTGCACGGGGTTCCCAGACTGGCCAGTCGAAGCCAATCTGGCGCCAACCTGGCGGGCCCAGTCTGGCACTCTGGCGAGGAAGCCCATCTGACCCAATCTGGCGAACAGAAACCAACTCCAGTCTGCGCCAGGCTGGGGAATCCCAACGGAGACCGATACCAGAGTGGTCCAGTCTGCCAGTCTGGCCTTCGACGGCCCAGCCCCAAGCCCCGACCCTTTCCCCCGGGGCCCATTTTTCATCCCCAATAATCTTTTGGACGGTCCCCGGGGCCCATTTCTCATCCCGAGTCGTCTCTTGGACGGCCCCCGGGGCCCATTTTTCATTCAGAGTCGTCGTCTGGACTGCCCTTGGGGCCCGGCGAGGGCCCGCGGAGACCTTGAAGACGGTGGTGAAGAGCCTCCGTCGTGTAGTTTCTTTTGTGGTTGCAGGGCGCGAGCACGTCTGGGCTTTCGCCAGCCCCGAGTCTGGATCAGGCTCGCGCCGCTAGGTACTTCTCGGGCGTTGCTAGAAATGCCCCTGGCCCAAGGTGCCCCCCAGCTTTTCGCTTCATTTTGGAGTCCCGGGGGCCCTCTGGGCCTCGTGAGGAGTGCTCTGGAGACCGTGGGGGGACTCCCTGGAAATCCTGGGGGCACCTTGGGCCAGGGACACTTCTAGCAACACCCGAACTTCGGACCCCGACCGCCAGCGAGCCGCCGCAGCTGCAACACCGCCAGAGGTGGCCAAGCCCGGCAGGGCCCGCGCCGCGCCGCTGCGCGGGCCTCTGGCCCACCACAGGGCGTCGCGGGCGCTCGCGGTCGCGCCGTCGCGCGAGGCTCCCGCGGGCAGCGCGCCGTCGAGCGCCTGCTGGTTGCGCGATACTCGACCCCAAAGCACCGAGACATCATGACTGCGCTGTTGGACATACATTGGCAACGCTATGTCGCTACGTGGTTCCACCTAGCGTGTTTCACTACTCGCAAACGATCGAAATACGCATCGTTTCTTCGATGCAGTGGGTCGTGAGTCCCCGCGGCGGATTGCGGGTAGTTACTTTGCGAGTAGTGACACGCGCTCGTCGATGGCTATAATGATGGGCCGCGTCTACATCGCAGAACGTTTTGGGGGGGGGGGGCGGGAAGGGGCATGCCACTCCTTGACAAACGCCCTGCCCCGATGTGTGTGGCCGCCGCGACCGCCGCGGCGACCTCCAGCACCGACCAGGCGGTTTGGCTCGGGGTCGGACATCACGCAACGGTCTGCTGCTCCAGAGCTCTCCGACAAGCAGCGCGCACGCGCAGCATGCCGCCAGCGACACGCGGAGCGAGACCGCCTTCTGACCGATGCCCCGGAGCAACCAGCTGGCACACCAGGCCCAGCACCGGACCTCGGCCTGCGGCTCGCCGTCGAGGCACGTCCTTGCCATCGCTTGGACGTCCATCCCCTGTGCATTTTTCGGTTTCGTGCGTGTTTTCGTTTGCTCGATCATCCAGGGTGCTCCTCCGGGGTCCCCGCCGAGAAAAACATGCACACGTCCGAGCGATGCCAGGCGTCTGGCTGCAGCTCCGCACCAGGGGCCCAGGCCTCGGGCAGGGGTCCTGGCGGAAGCCGGCCCCGGAGCCCGGCCTCTCTCTCCCCCCCAGGTCAAGGGGGCCAAGGACACGCAAATAAATACACACAAATAAAAGGATTCCCCTATATTATCCCATGTTTTCTGGGTTTTTGTCTTCCCGCCCAATTCCCATACTTTCCCATATTTTCTTGGGAATCGACGATTCATTGTGTCTGTGTGTTTTTTCCCTCCTGACCAGACCCGCTCGCCGCCCCGAGCAGCTCTTGGACGGCCCCAGGCATCCAAAGCCGAGGCCTGCGAGTACAGCCAATCCGTATCATGAGGATGCGCGGTAGGGATGCAGGGGCCTTGGAGGCCCATGTGAACGTCTCTCGAACGAGCTTGGCCAGGGAGAATGGCCAGGGATGGGCCGAAAAGGCAAGGATGCAAGGGCACCCTTGGGACGAATTCCCATCCTTCTCCTGCGGCTCGGCTGTACAATTCTTGAGGCCTCCTAGATGGGGTCGGAGTAGATGGGGTCGGAGCATCTCGCCGCATCGCCGACACATCGGCAATACATCGCCGATGCATCGGCGATGTATCGGCCATGCACTGGCGACGTCGGCGATGCATCGGCGACGTCGGCGTGGAGACAATTGGACCCCACATCGAGCCGCATCGCTGATGCATCGCCGATGCGGCGCGATCCTACGACCCCATCTACTCCGACCCCATCTGGGAGGCCTAGAACTTCTGGACCTCTTTCCTCAGACACACCGTCCAGCCAGGTCTCGTGCTTGACTGTCGGCCTCAGATCATCCTCGGGGCGGCGCGAAGGCCTCTACTTGGCTTGGCCAATGGCTGGCACAACCTCCCAAACTTCCTAGTCGTTTGGACTGTCAGCTGGTCCGCCGACCCCCTTTGGGGTCAACAAGCTGCGTGGGCTAGTATTCCTGCTCCCGAGAACAATTATCGTGTTTGGAATCATGGGTTGGGACAATGAAGGGTATAAGCAATAGCATCCAGACGCAATGAACGATACCTTCGGCGTCCTACGGATAAGGATATCCTCACGTCTCACACCCCCATCCTCAAACCCGATACTTGTCTTCCTGACACTTTCAATGCGAATGCTTCCCATGCTGCTACAAGTATACAATACCTGGATCCTGACGGTGGATATTACCGAAGAAGACGCGAAGACCCCCGGCCAAAGAAAACACTCCTGCCACGCCGGAATCACGTCTTCAGAGCTGGGGGCGGTGCCCTGTGACGGTAGACATGCGTCGCTTTAGCGCCCTCGACGACACGATCATTTGCTTGCACAGAGTGGCAGCGTGCTCGCGCTCCCGAGGCCACGCCCCCTCGCGTAGAGATTGCTTCGTGCCCGCGTCTCCCGAGGCCGCAGCCCCTTCGGGCCGTCCTCCTCCACGAGTGGGGCCGGAGGTTGTTTTGGTCTTGGCTTTTGTTCCCCACATCCAAAGTGGGGTTCTTGTTTTCTCTGCACACCCCCCGCGCAGGATCTCACACCCTCTCTCTCTCTCTCTTCCTCTTTCTCGCCATCATCATCATCAGTCATCATCATCATGACCCACGCCTCTCCTCCTCAGCACCATCACACTTACCCATACACCACTCGATCGCTCACTCACTCACTCACTCACTCACTCATCATGATCATCACATGAGGATATCATCCGTTGGCGTCACACATCACTCAGTCAGTCCGTCACTCACTCGAGTATCAAGCGGGAGCGTCGTCTGTGAGTGAATTGCGAGGAAGTCTCAGGCGGGAGCCTCTCCCTATGGGGCCCGCAGATCATCTTACTAATCCGAGGCGGGTCATCGGGATCCTGTAACTGTCGTCACTTTTGGGCTCCTGGGGCGTGAATTTGGAGGAAGTATCAGGCGGGAGC